CACCAACAAAGGTGTTGTCCAACGGGAGTTCCTGAATCACATGGTGCTTTTTCACTGAAACTGGAGTGTCAGGTTTGAGATGAAAAGCAGACTGCGGAGAGGCAGATTTGTAATGCTTGGCAAGATCAGGACTGTTAGGCTTAAAGGTTGATGGTGGTGCTGTGCCCCAATCAAATCTTCCTATAGTTTGCTCCTCCAGCTCTGCTGGAAGGCTTATTGTCCCGTTGATAGGTTCATGAACTGCATCATCAGGTTTGGACTCCTCAATGGTCACAAAGTTCAAAAGGGAGCTCTTTGGAGATTTCCTTTTCTTCCTTTTCTTTTTCTTGTTTTGCTTGTTTTCCTGATTGGGAGACATCCACTCAGCACCTTGCTTGCTCCTCTGGGCAGCTTTGAATCTGGACGCATGTCGACAGCGAACAAGAACCGTGACAAATATCACCACTATGACAACCATGGCACCAGCCACAATTGCAATCATGATTGTGAGATAGTCCTCATTTTGGTAGGGTTGACTACTGTCCCCTATGTTCCGATCCAAAGGTGTTTCCATAGTCCTGCGTATCAAGTCATAAATATAAGAGGCATTTCCAGCAGTATCGTTTACATATAAAAATACAAGAACAAGAGTATGCAGGGATTTGGGATAACCCAAATCACTTATGTTGACAACTAAGCGATGCAGCCCCACGTCATTAGGAGTTGGCTTTTCTTCCAGAGTGATATTTCCTGTCACTGGATCAATCCGAAACAAACCCTTGTTATTGCCGCTTACAATCGTGTACTTCAGCTCAGCATTCATGCCAGTGTCTATATCCACAGCAAAGACTTCAGCTACCACCGATCCTGGAATTGCTGAGAGTGGCACTAACTTAAAAGAAGTATTAGAAGGTGGGTAGATGACAACAGGACTGTTATCATTAACATCCATCACGTTTATTGTTACTTTTGCTGTCGAAGAGCGAGGAGGTTGCCCTCCATCCACTGCCTTAACATCAAAGGTGTAAGAGCTCTGCTGTTCTCTATCAAAAGAAACGTTGGACTTTATAACTCCAGAGTACGGATCCAGCACAAAGTTTTCATTGTCATTCAGGATGGAAAGGGTCACTGCTTTATTTTCCCCGGCATCTGCATCAGTCACTGTGATCACCCCCACTGTGCTATACTTTGGTAAGTTCTCTGATACGAAAAACTGGAAATGATTATGAGTAAATTTGGGACTGTTGTCATTTTCGTCCAACACAGTAACAATTACAGCCGCTTGACTCTGCAAAGGAGGGGTGCCATTATCTCGGGCCGTAACAGTGAAAATGAAACGTTCTTGCTCTTCTCTGTCAAAAACTCTGGAGGCTGTCAACACTCCTGTCTTTCGATCCAGATCAAAAAAGGAGGCATTAGGACCAAGCTGATAAACAATGTCTGCATTTTTCCCACTGTCTTCATCTGTGGCACTAATAGTTGTTAAGTATAGACCACGCCGGTTGTTTTCAGAAACTGACAGCTCAATTACAGGCTGGCTGAAAATCGGAGGGTTGTCATTTTCATCCTCCAGCTTAACTCTTACCAGGGCAGTCTGGTTCAAACTGGGCTTGCCAGAATCAGAAGCCACAATTTTAAAGCTAAATTCTTTGGTGCCCTCATAGTCCAACAAGGAAGAGGTCTCTAACAGATACTGGTTGTCGTAAACTGCTTTCAGGTGGAAGGGGACTTCTCTCTCAATGAAACAGATCACTTTGCCATTCACATCAGTGTCCTTATCTGAAACCGTAATTAGGGCAATCTTTGTATTGATGGGATCTTTCTCAGATAAGTACACTGTGCCATTGATGGGACTTATTATGTACCTGAGGTCTATGTTAGGAGGGTTATCATTTACATCAGTGACATTGATGGTGACAGTTGCCCGAGCTGGTGTAGAGCTACCATCACTAGCCAGCACTGTCACTTTGTGAATAGCAGTCTCTTCTCGATCTAAGGACCTCTGAACTGTAATCAGCCCTGTGGTGTTGTTTAAAGCAAAAAATCTTTTGGTTGCAGGGGCGACTTGGGCACCAAAAATATATCTGATTTCTGCATTGCTTCCTATATCAGCATCTGTAGCATGAAGCTGAATTACAGAGGTGCCTACAGGGGCATTCTCTGGTATATGGACCTCTACTTGACTCTCTTTAAAGACTGGCCTGTTATCATTGACATCACTTACTGTGACTTGCAGGATAGCTGTGCTGGATTTCTGGGGGGTACCTCCATCCTCTACTTTGATTTTCATCACGTAGGTGTCCTTTTGCTCTCTGTCCAAGTTCTGCTGCACAATCAGTTGAGGCCATTTCTCCCCTTCTGGAGTTTCTACAATATCCAGTCCAAAGACACTCTGCCCATTTAACAACTCATAGTGCTGAACACCATTGAAACCTGTGTCAGGATCTGTTGCTGATGGGATTGGAAAGCGACTGTTGATCAGAGTGTTTTCTGGGATGGAGATATTGATGACAGGGGATGGAAACATAGGCGCATTGTCATTAGTATCCTTTACAATGATTTTTATTTTGATCAGCCTAAAAAAGTCATTGGGGAGAATCACTACTTCAAGTTCAAAGAAACATTCATTTTCTTCTGCATAGGAAGCTCCAGCACATAGTTTTTCTCTGTCTATTCTGTTAGATGTTGTAAAGATTTCCCCTGTGTTACTGGACACTTTGACCAGAGGCGCATCCCCTGCTTTAGACACCAGTCTGTAGACAAGGCTGGCACTGGTCCCTGTGGCAGCATTGATATGTGAAATGTTCAGGTCCTTTGGTATGTTCCCTATGGGCACGTTTTCAGGCAGCTCCTCTCTAATGGTGTAAATAAGTTCTTGAGCTATAGCAGAATCCAGCTTTAAACAGGCAATCAAAGCGGCCAACAGGTAAAAATCCCTCAGGTCCATGATAATGGTTTTATTCTCTTTTCACGGATTTTAGGACTTAAAGGTTTCCAGAGAGGAATGATGCGCGATTTGCAAGAGGAGGCATGCATGGACTGCAGGATGCATTACATCTCATTTCTTATTTGGAGACATCACTGTCAACACAACCACACAGAACAGCATTATTGTTTTTTTAGGCATGATAAATCCACAATCTCCAACTACTACTTGTTTTTGCAATGCACACTTCCAGCAGTACATTTTCCTACTGCTCCCTTTTACAGGCAAGCCCTCCGGACAAATGCACCAATATCCCATTGGCTGCATTTGCTCAGAGCACAAATGAAAATAACTACTTGCAGGATTAAGGGTAGCTACTGTTTCGACACGTACTTTCTGAATAATTTCTTGGTACACCATGTAATCTGTAAAGTGCATTCCCCCTCTACCCTCCTCCACCCAGTCATTTGGTGCAAGTAAAAAACCTTCCCGGACTACTTCTAGATTCTAACTGCTATGCCAGCTGCCAAATGTAATTTGCTGTTTGCTTCCATATGTATTTTTTAGCTCTTGCTAACCAGATTTTTCTCTGCTCGCTGTGCCTTGCATGCCCCTCTATAGCTATCGTACTGGGAAATAACCACCCGGACATGCTGCTGCTGCAGCCAGTCGTCACTGGCTACTTCACATCCCTGTTAACTGATGAGACAATAACAGGACTTACAGTTTCTTACACTCTCAGCTCAGTGTTTCTTCTCCAGATGTTGGATACTTCTCCTTCTGTTTAATAACCTAAAACTTTATTTTTTTTAACACAGTCTAAATCAGGAGGCTAGAAATTCCAAATGTAACTTAGAAGCAGGCAGTATGTTTACAGATGGGGGAATATATATTTTCTGATGATATGAGTAGGGAAAAAGGTGAAGCCTTTCCCCATTAACACTGGTCTCCCTTCAGGATGATATTAGCAGCTGTCACATATAAATACTGCAGACTAATAATGCAGGTGGAAAAAAAAAAAAATAAAAAAGGAAAGCGACTGACAGACTTCTGTTTGCATGCACTGCTAACCGCACATTATCGGGGTGCAAGGCTTCCAGCACCTACAGTTTGACGGAACTAGGCAGCCCTAAACACTAATCTTATCTGCATTAAGCTGCACGGTAACTGATGCCTGTGATTACTTCCAGCAGAGTAATGCAGGTAGGGATGCAGAGACAGCGAGTAGGTGAGCCTTTCCCACCAACATCAACAGAATCCCAAACACTGATTCTTTCCCTAGATAAATATACTGTGTGTTGGCTTTTTTTCTTTTTTCTTTAAAGGAAATGCATCCCAGCTTAAGGGTAACTTTGCACTTACGTTAGTTGTCTACCTTTGACGATCTGCTGCAGCTAAGCAATGATCTGTTCCAGCAGATACAGCACAATGCATCTGGTAAACCACCAGTTTTGGAGAAATCAGCAGCAGCCAAACGCTTCCTCCTCGAGATATGTGTTGCTTCGGGGTGGCAAATTAGCAACTCCAGGGAACAAATTCGCAGTTCTGTCGTTAGTCATCCTCTCCACGTTTCATTCCTGTGAAACGGCGATCCTTTGGGTGCCTAACGTGCACGCAACAACCCAAACAAACAGCAAGAGAAAAATCCGGTGCACTTCTTAGAGCGGGGGTATTTTCCACTCTGCACTGCACACCATTCCCGTCCCTCTCTCGGCAGAGCAGAGGCAGCTACATCAAGTCTGCAACTTCTGACTGGAAATGGCAAGAGTTGGTCTGGCGGTGCTTCTCCCTCTTTAGCTCTGGGGTGACAGTTGACCAAAAAAAATTAAAAAAAAATAAAAAATCAAAAAAAGAAATCCTAATAGGTTATTGCTTTAGTGACGGGAGGAAGCGGCGGCGCTTTCCCTCCTCCTTCTTCTTCCTTCCCTCCCTCCCTCCTTCCCTCCCTCCCTCCCAGCCTCTCTCCCTCACATACGCTCTTTCCTTCTCCCTCTCTCTCTCTGAACTGAAATTCTTGATATAACTCTCAATAAGCCCAGAGGGAGGTGGGAGCGGCGCGAGGCCACCCCTCCCGCCGCACCGCATTGGCCCGCGCCGGCGGGGGCGGCGGATGGCGGAGCGCGGCCGCGGCATTGGCCGCCGGGCACGTCGCTCCGCGGCCGGCCGGCCGGGCGGGGGCTGCGCGCCGCGCGGAGGGGCCCGGCGGGGCCGGGGGGACGCGGGGACGCGGCGGGAGCGGGGCGCTCCGCGGGCGGAGTGCGGCGGACACGCGCGGGCGGAGGGCGGGCGAGCGCTCCGCGGTCGGGGGCGCGGAGGGGGCGGAAAGCAGCGTCGGGCTTGCGCGGGGCTGTGGGGTAATTTGGAAATAAGGGCTCGGCGTGCGTTTGGGTTGGTGGTGTGGTTTGAGGTTGGGGGGACGGGGATGCCTCAGTGCGTGCTCGGTGTCGCTTGCGCGGGGCAGCGCGGTGCGAGCCCGCGGTGCGAGTCGGGCCCGGCGCGGAGCGCAGCGGGGCCGCCCCCGGCGCCGCGCAGGTTCGGAGGCAATCGCTTGCCCCGGCCCGCCTTCGCCCGGTTCGGCCTTATATTTAATACATGCCCTTTCATCTATAATTTAGGCTGCTCTGACTCCAGCCCTGTCTCGGCTCCCATTTACGCCTGCACACCTTTCTCCTTCCCTTTCCCGAAGGGTCAGCCGAAACACTCGCCAAGGGAGGGAGAGAGCTACTCTGCTGGTTTGGGTTTTGTCTGCTTAAACATTGAACTGGAAAAGATTCCTTCTCTCTGTGGTTTGATAAATAATAAAAGTGATCGTTTCGCCTTCCCCATAAATGACACAGGTAAATTATCCAGCTAGCCACAAAGAAGCATCACATGCCTGGAAGACACTATAATAAAATGACAATGTATTATGCTATGAGTGACCTCAAAAGTGTGACAAGAAGATGATTATAGTGCATTATCTATAGTGCATTATATGTAGTGCCTTTTTCAACGTTTTCAGAAGCATGAATGAGCCTTTATTTGACTGTGCTTTTATTGCTAGCTTTTCTCAGCTTGAATTTACAAGCTGTATGCTCGAACCTATCCAATTTAATATGCTGAGGTACGTGGCCATGCTAGCTGCTGATTATGGTTAAGTCTTTCAAATATATATGCATAGGAAAAAAACAAAGATAACATCAGCATTTGTCTTTTTCTGTATGTGGTACTATCTCATTTGCACATTTTCAGTGGATAGCACTGGTGACCTAAAGATTGGAGTTCTACCTTGAGGATTTTACATTTTCAGATGCAGGCTCTTAGACTCCCATATGTGTCTGCACATAGGATGCACTATTAACAAATGGTGGGAGCTGCTTGTACCACTCAGAGGTCAGAAATTTGCATGGCTTGGAATTGTGTGCTACATACTGATAAATGTACATATCCTTGCAAGTTATATGGATGCAGACACTGTATGTGAGCATTGCACATCCTGTGATCCCATGATGCGTAAAGATTAAACATTCTCAGTTTTGCTGTGCTTTGTAGTTGTGTCCAAAATATTCTTGTTACAGTTACACAGAAAAAAAATTGATCCTGGTTTTGATGACATCAAGTAACATTAGAAAACGGAACTGGATCTAATAATAGTTTAAGAAAAATGTTCATTATGTAATACAAGAAGGATGGCTAGAGCCCTGGCATTGAAAGTCAACCAAGTGACATGAAGGAGCAACCTTACTGCCAAACCACTTAGAAAAAGAATTCTGTGAATGAATAAAGTATGCAGTTCTTTTATCTTTTAAGATACAAAGCAGAATAGCCATTAATAAAGGTGATAATTAAAACTGCTAGCATTCTGTGTAATGCAGTCTGCTTCTAAAATACGGCATGTTTATGTATGCATGAATAATACACACATTTTTCCTGACACTGGTCATATCACAGCAGTATGGCATCACAGACGTTTTATAGCCTCATTCTAGTAACATCACAGGCATATAGCATTCTTATTCTAATCACACCATAGTCATTTCAATGTCACATTGTAGTCACATCACATAGCCTGGTAATAATTATTTAACTTTATTGCTAAGCTGAATAGTTTTCTGTTTGCTCAGGGATGACTTAAACTTGTAGTCAGAACTGATTAGCACATGCTCATAAATGAGCTCTTCTCATGTACACAGGGTTAGACTAGTGAAAAGTTAGGAAGAGAAAAAAAAATTTCAATGAACTAGTGTCTGTTGGACAATGGAATCACAGGTCACAATAATTTCAATTTTTTTTTTTGTTTTCAGAAGTAATTTTAGAAATGTTTATGTGTAGATCTGTCATGTTAATGTTTATGTGCTTACTTTAAAATGCTGTAGTACTTTAACTAATCATACATTATTAATCTCATGTAAGAGGAACATCTTTAAACTGTTGTATTAGCACATCAGATTGTAAAATAGAGGCCCAGAGTACTAAAAGGGTTAGAACTATCACAACTGTTTCTAATAATGGTAGAAAAATAATGGAAAGGGCCAAATTCCTGAGCAGGACGTGGAATCGCCCAGTGCAGCATTTACACCACCCCTACAATGTGAGGAACTGCTCTGAACATGTCCTGTGCTCACTTGAGTAGACATGTTTATTCTCTGGTAGATGTTTATTCCATCACTCTATATTTGAGAAAACTGCAGTATTTGATGTCAGGTTACCCTCAAATGCAGCTGTGGTGCTGTTATTTGTGCTGTTTCCTAAAAGTTGCCTTTCTTTACTATTATGGATAAGCCTTTTGTCCATGTATAAGAACACTGGATTCATAATCACATCACACCTTATTAAAATGATTTCTGTATTATATTATAACTTACTAACTATTCATCCACATCATTGCTTGTTATCTTTGCTTCCATATTATTATGTATCAAATTCTTTTCCATATCATATTTGACTCAAATTCTAGCATGCTAGAAACTGACTCCAATTATTCTGTACTAGCTATAGTCAAATTGCACTAAATGGAATTGCTTACATTGTATCACAGTGGCTACAGGCTCACACAATGCATTATACATGAAACTGATTCACATTATGCTTAGCTAACTAAAGACTTTAATCTTGAAGTGTTGAGCATAAAATGCTATCATTCTTCACTGAACTGGCTCTGGTCACTTGATCATTTTGTACCTGGGATTGCCTCTTACAGGCTGTTATTATTAAAGCAAAATGGCTTTTCCTCTCCTGCAGTTCTACCACTTTCTGTGGAGAGCTGATTCATATGCTAATGAATGAGCTTTCTTATTTCATGGCAGAACACTGCAACACTGGAACCTGAACTATGGTGCACCTACAGGATGTCCCCTTCAGTGTAGCATAGGGAAAAAATGCATTATAAAAATCTGCCTGTGTGTTCAGATAGCAGGCTATGTGCTAACTATTGAGAAATCCTTAATATTATCCCCAGAGGTCTTGTTTTGGTATGTTGCCAAAGTCATTAGGAAACCCATCCTAGGTCCCATCTGCAACAGGAAGTATTCAAGGCCATATTGCCAGTTCTGCTGCGGTCTCTCAGGGTGTTTCTGCTGTGGCTGTCCCTGGAAGGAGAAGAGATTATGAGTTCAGTGTGGCAGGTAAAGAAGTAAAGACTCTCCCTGTTACAGATAGTTTTTAATCCATGAAAGAGTCCACCTCCACCGGGCAGACTTTCTCTCTGCTCTGTCACTGGCATTGCTGTATCCTTGATTTCGGCTTCTGCCAAATTCAGTCTCATAGTAACCTCAGGAAACCCACTTCTTACAAGAAGCACTGGGACAAAAAGTGATGCCTGTAATCTGCTGCACTCCTAACCCCCAAATGTTCAGGGCTTCTGTAAAGATGAGAGAGGAACGCCAGAGAGTCAGGAGCAGCATATGGAGAGGATTGTGGAGCCTATGTTTTCTTCATATCCTTACAAGCATGTTTCTCCTTGCAAACATGATGCTTTGGTCCAGCTTTGTATGATTTTTAATTCAGGAGCTTGCTTCAGAGTGACCTAGTCTTCTTGGGTAGAAGGATTGGACCCGTAGCCTTTATTTACATGAGTGACATCAATAAAAGTGTTTTGGGTAATGTAAACCATATGTAACTACAGCATTTGAATAAGCCAGGTAATTGAATTATAAATTCTATTTATTTAATATACTAATTTTTGAAATTTCAAAGTGTATTTAATTGTTTTTCAGAATGGTTGTGAGAGCTCTAGGAAAGGAAAAACGCTTAAGTGAGCAGCTCAGGACTATATAATAACATGTACTCTTAGATAAACAGCAGTAGCTAAGTCAGTTAATGATTAATAATTTAAGCCAATTGAGCTGCTGAGATGGGGGAAGAGTTGCAGAATTGGGACCTTTTAATGTGTCTTTCTTCAGGAAAATAAACTCAGTCCCTGGATAATCAAATCACAAAAGGGGCAGGTGATGACCTTCATTCCATTTGAATGGCAGAACTAAATTTAAGTGAATTTGCCATTTTTTTTTTGACTGACAAAGATTGCAAATGTCAGTTCATGGCTCTGAAGGGTCCAGAAGTGCAGAAGCTGAAAGCTGGCATTTTGCAGTGCCAGTGTTCAAGCCCTGTCTCTGTACAATACAGCAAGGTGCCCAACTCCTCTTAATTATTTCTGTTTATTTAAAGGGACAGATTAATATGCAGGCTTGAATTGTTTGCTTGCAAGTGTGTGGGGCTTTTTCCTCCCTCACAGGGCTTTAGTGTCTGTTTACTATGATACTAAAAATTAATTTGGATATAACTAAAATAGAGTAAAAAATGCTGTTTAAAACGCAATAATTGGACCACTTAGATGTAATTTTATGTGGCACAATAAGAAAAAAAAAAGCTTAAATCTTTGCTACACTCATGTCATTTTTTATGATGGAAGTACCTGATGAATGAGAACAGAGAAGTAGATTCCAACCAATTTGCTTTTGTGTAAGGCAAAAATATTCCAGAACCTGCAAATAACCTGATGTTTTATTGATGCTTTATTGTTTAAAAAGAGTAGAAAGGAAAAGAAATTAGGTCTAAAGGCTTTCAGACAAAAAAATGTCTGAAGAAAGTTTTACTGAAGCATTTTCATTTCCAACAGAACACTAATGTAGTTTTAATGGACAGAATAATGCTGATGCAATGTTGGCAGGATCAGAATGAGACCCAAAACATGGAATGAGACCTCCTTCAGGCATTATCATGGTTTACCAAAACAGACATTTACTTTGTTTTTCTACTTTCTACTTATGACCTTCTCCCTGCTTGCACAGACTATAGAAAATGCACAATTTAAATCAATATATATACTCGCACTAACTTGCATTAGTAAGATTGACATCTTTACACCTGAATTTGAACCTAAATATCTTCTTTTTTGAGTCCTACTCTTCTGTCAGTCATGCCTCACCATTTACAAAAGGTTACTAAGGTAGTAAATCTTGATTAAACCCTATGTCCTCTGGAGGAAAAAAAATACTTGTTTGACGTAGACATAGCTTTATTCTTTAAATTACAAAGGCAGGCAGACAGATGACTAATTTCTTTTTAAAAGCATCATGCTGTCATGATTGCTTCTTCTTATTTCTAACACTTCTTCATTTCTTAATGTCCCAGTTAAACCAAGGCATCTACGGTTTTGAGGTTTTATCTTTTGGGAGTTGTATGTTTAGCATCCTGGTGGTATAAATATTGCAGGAGCTACACCCTTTCATTAAGCAGATGATGCCCATCTATTTGCCATGCATATGCACTGAAAAGAAGAGCACAGATTCCTGGACTGCATCCCTTTTCTGTGCCTCAGTGGTATGGCTGTGATTTTCAAAGACCTTTTGTTCTTCTGGACTTAAAATCTGTAAAAGAAAAGGTGTGTGCCCTCCTCCTATTGGCAGCAGTACCCCAACTCTGTACATGCCACCGTGTTCTGGGGAAGTACTTTGATGTAATTTTGGCTTTCTGGAGGCCAGTTCCTCTCTGAGCTCTTCTTTATATGGAAGCCAGAGTTCTGCAGAGTGCTCATGCAGAGCTGAACCTGAAAGAAAGGATTAATCCAAACAAAATTACTCTCACAAAAACAAAGGGGGAAAATTACAGGTCTGTATTTGGTATGTATTCACAGAATAGGAAATGTCAGAAACATCTTTGCTCTCATTTACATTCCGTTCAATATTCTAAAAAATATTAGGTTCTAGGAAAGAGAAAAAATCTAAATGACCAAAATATGACTTCTCCATAGATTTTCACTGTTCTATTTAGTGACTTTATTGTCCAGGTTTCTTAATGCCAGAAGTTACTCAATGTCTTAAAGTAAATAATATGTTATCATGTAAGTAATAATGTAAGCAAAGTAAAAATATACAGGTAATGGGTCACTATTTTCCCTTTATGGAAACTAACTGGGCATTCTTAGAAAATACTTTAGAGGAAGAATAAATTGGAGTTTAATGGGTTTTCCTTCTATATTACTAATAAATCACTGCTTCTGCCTCCCATGTTGACAAGCAGCAGATGTTTCAACACAAACTCCAT